AGGGTGATTTGAACACCCAACTGGTGTAGAGTCCTCATGCATAGACTATGAGAGACAAGTCTGATGTCCTTTGTAACAGCAGTGTGGCAATCCTGGGGTCTTCCCTTCTCAGCTGCAAAGCTTTTCCAGCTGGCTCATGTGCCAGCCACCACTGACCACAACAGGCACCTCAACAGGGATGATGTTAGCTCATGGGCCTCTGAACTTTGACTGAATTTTTTGCCAAGCATGTTCCTATTGCAGTATTCTCCAAACTATCCATTCAATAAATAACCATTCTACTCCCTTCTCTTTTTTTATGAATTGTGATATCTTAGAGTGTGATGAAGAACTTTGAGTATCATTTTCCCTGAAAGAAATAAATAACCATTCTACTCCCTTCTATTTTTTTATGAATTGTGATGTCTTAGAGTGTGATGGCAGAGGAACTTTGAGTATCATTTTCCCTGAAAGATTTCCTCCAGCTTCCAAATCTGTTTCAGGTATTATTTGGAGAGATCTGAGAGCTACAGTCAGATAACTGTGCTCCAGTCTATATTTGCAGCCATTTCAGCTTATGGTTGTGCAAGCTGACTAGCAACATGGAGGACAAGAGGAAATGGGATCCAGTTGCACCTGGGGAGGCTTAGATTGGATGTTTGGAACAATTTCTTTCCTGAAAGAGTGGTGAGACATTGGAACAGGCTGCCCAGGGAGGTGGTGGAGTCCCCATCACTGGAGGTGTAGATGTGGCACCTGGGGACATGGTTTAATAGTGATGGTAGTGTTGGGTGGTAGTTGGACTTGATCTTAGAGGTCTTTTCCAACCATAGTGTTTCTATGATTCCATGTTTTCTGTTTGTAGACTATCCCCTTGGAGGAGATACAGGAAGCAGTGGACTGCTGACATGTCTTTGAAAAATTGATGGGCAGTGATTAGACTGTTAATTTTAATAGAAATGCTTGGCCTGTGTGGTATGGAAGCAGTCTTCTTCTTATGGCCTCCTGCTTTGTTATGGCTGCACGTGCCTCCAGAGGCCAACTCCTTCTGCATTTGTTCCTAGTTACTGCTAAATCTTCCCAGTGCTGCCATGGTGTGCTGGATTGCAATGCCATCAGCACATGCAACTTGACAGCAAATCCACTCATTTTTGCAAAATCTATTGACCGTGTTGCATCCATTCCTTTGGTGACTGTTGCAGCACTGTGGGTGAGTGGGTGCTGCCTGTGGCCACGTGTGAGGGTACAAAGTAGTCTCAATTCACTAAGTACAGGACTACCACACTGTCAAGTTTAACAAAGCAATTGTGTTTTGGGTGTTTCTCTTTAGTAAAACACCAAAGCTATTTACTGCCAAAAATAATGAAACACCTCAGTTTTAATTGTAGTAGGGGTATGTTTTTTTTTTCAGCAGTTATTCAGGTTAAACTTAAGTTGCATGTTTTAGTACAAATATTTTGGGTTTAAATGCAGTATTAGATACAGCAGAGCTACTTGCACCCAAGGATTAAATGACTAAGAGATTTATTTCTTTAATTGTTTTAAAATGTAAAGCATTTTGAGTCTTTTGTTGCTTAGAAGAGCAGCAAGCGGGCTGTTCTCACAGCAGAATGTTGGAAATGCAGCTGAATGTTATAAATATGTAGATCCAGAGGACTCCTTTTCTTGGCTTCACAAGTTTTATTAGCTGGGATGTGCTCATCACATTGCATTTAGCAGACACTGGTTTTGCATATGTTTGGCTCTCAAATCAGTGAGTAGCAACAAGCATATCCCCAGTTCCTGGTCTGTATGCTGAAGTATGGCATGAAGTGGCTTCCCAGCCCAAACAGGAGTGGAGACTCTCTGTGCTCTGTCTCAGAGGTGGAAACTCAATCCCAGGAAACACCCCACAGGTGGCAGCAGCCCTGCTGCCATCCTGATGGGATTTTGATAAAATTCCAGTGTGGGTGCTCTCAGAGCAACGCAGCCTGCAGCAGAAACCTGCCTCAGAACGCATCTGCTTGCTTTTCATGTCTCTCAGGCCAGGTTTTGGGAGGCTTTGCGTGGAAGTCCCCCCCAAGAGCCGCGGCTGCTGGC